TTACGGTTGGGATAATCAATGTGCATATAATGATTCACCATATTGTTATGATTATCAATCTAAATGTGTCCAATATGAATCTAAACCATCTTAGGAATTAGCAATAGAAAGGTTAGCTAATGCATCTTTACCTTGAGAATTAGAAAGTGAACTATTAGCTAATGATTCTAAACTATCTTCGGAGCTAGCTTTGGTTGTTTAGTCGCCTTTTAATGATCCACCACCTCCAAAAATGGTGGATTATTTTTTAACAAAGTCTCCTTGAAAAATGAGGTGAAATAGTCAAGCTAATGACTATAAAGAAGCGCTTGTTGATAGGCAACCAAATATTTGTTTAAATTTATGTTATTTTGGTGTGATTTTATGTTTAAATTATGTATTTAAGTTGTTTTGTTGTTTTTCATTTGCAAGATTGGGAAACAAAAACAAAGGCGGCCAAATGAGGTGAAAAAGCGAAATCTGATCAATGATCTCAATACTTCAAATTGAGTAATTGTGATTTTTGATGCGTTAAAGAAGGTTAGAATGCATGTTTAGATCATTTTACATGTGCGTGAATGTGTTATTTTCATATACGAATGATCTAGGGTGTATTATAGAAATTGGGGTCATGTACATGATTTTAGAAAATTGCAGCAATTTTTGCACTAAAAGTGCAGAGCATAAAACATACCCACTAAAACGTGGGCTAGCCTCGCATTTTATGATCGCGTTTTATTAAATTTTCAAGAAAATTTGAAGACAACGTGGGCAAAAACGCGACCTCACCCCGCGTTTTGCCCCGCGTTTTTAGCTTGGATCAAAAAATTGAAAACGCAGGCTATGAAATGTGAGTATGGCCCGTTTCCTTTGCCTACGTTTAGAATCTGCAATATCCAACCAGAAAATGCGATCCTAGAAACGCGACTTGGGTGGTGTGTGAGAACTCGAAAATTTATGTGTATATTTTGAATTTATTTCATTACATTTAATCCGCTATTAGAAATATTATATGTAACAAATGAATGGGTAAATTAAATGCCTAATTGAATTCCTATAGAATTGAAAATTTAGGGAAAAAAATGATATAATAAATAAATAAAATGATAAGCAAAATGATAGAATGGTGTAAAAAGAAATATGAATATGAATCAAATAAACATATGATATGCATATTGTAATTTGGGCCATTTGAATATATTATATAGTTGAATAAGTTACATGATTAATTAATTTTTCTTAAAGCTAAATGTATGGAAATCACTAGATCGATATAAACAAAATCTTTCAAGGTATATACAAATTAGAATAAATGAAATTTGGAGTTAATGTGTGAGATAATAAAATTTCGGACTCATGGCAAACAAATAAACCAAAGTTAAAAGACCATTTTAACCCTAAATCTTGAGCAATTAACCATGCAACCGAGAGGATCACCTTCTGGAATGAAACCGAAAGAAAAATAAGAGTTGGTAGGCGGAAGAACCGAGGGAAGCATCTTATATGTTCTTGTCTACCACTTCCCACCGAAAAGAAATAACCTTGAGCCTTGGTTAGAACTACCATGCAGCCAACCGGATACCTGAATTGTAGAAGTAGAAGTTGAGTGGAGAACTTTGGTTTTATCAACCACCGACTGAAGAGGAAGTTGAGTGATCAGCTTCTTTGGAGTTAAAGACCGAGAGAGAAAAGTGAGGACTTAGCTTATTTCCTAGTCTCACTTCAAGACCAACCGAGAGAGTGAGCGAGAGCTCTGCATTTTCTTAGGCAGCAACAACCGAGAGAGAAAGCAGGGCATCGACCCATTTCTTTCTTCTCAAAACACCAAAACCGAGAGCTAAATTGAGGAATAGGAAGAGAAACTTAGTTAGATTCATCACATATCAGCTTCAACCGAGGAAGGACACAAGGAAGGAAAAGAGTGAGACCTTGTGCAATTTGGAGGAACCGAAGCTTAAAAACTGGAGCAGTCTGCAACTGTTGAATTCTAAAGGAAAGGAGGTAAAAAAAATTCAGTAATAATCCTTTACTTATTAAGTATAAGTGAATACATAAGCTGCATGTTGAGGAAAACTCTGATTTGAGACTGCATAGCTGCTGGACTGAAACCTGTAGGAACCAAGAGCTTACATGCTGAGTTGCAACTTGTTATCGGTGTAGAATGGAAACTAATGATAGGAAATGCATGTAATACGTTAGCCTTATGTATTATAGGAAGTTTAGCTGAAGAAACTTGTGAAAAGCCGGAAATTTGGATTGAAAATACTGATAAGAGGTTGCTGGAAATTTCTCAGCTTCATCCGAGAGTAAGAAATAATGAAGCACCAGTTTCCTTTTTGCGAATCTTGGTTCTAAAATTCTGTACTAAGTTGTAAAATATTATATAAAACCTTGATTTCTTCATGCATGAAGGATTTGATTATAAACTGAAGGGATTGCTGGAGAAAGTTCTTGCTTAAAAGCTGATTGCTGCCTGAAAAAACTTTTCCAGCTTGGCCGAGAGAAAGAGTTAAACTTCTGATCAGTTTTTCTTTCGAACTCTAACCGTAAACTTCCATGTGTGCTGGTTAAGAATACTCTGTAGCTGAAGAATCATCCTTTGCATGATGAGTTAGAGTTAAAACTGAAGAAATTATAGAGGAAATGCCCTGTACTAAACTGCTACGTTACTGAATGTTTTTGCTAGCTGATGACAGATTGGTGTGTGCAGTTCTTGGTCGAATAACTTGCTGGAACTATATGATATCTATTTTGTTTTAAACTGGACAGAATGTATACTCAGTGTTTAGTGTTTTAAGCAAGTAAAAGATGGAACTTTGTGGAAATTTTTGAAGTGGTATTGCTGGAAAATTGTCTTGCTGACCGAGAGAGAGAAGAATTGAAACTCTATGATATTTCGAAAAAATTCCAGGATGATTGGTTGTAATCTTGTATAAAACATCTTATAACAACTTGACCCTATCATTCACGTTCATTTTAGTGAATTTGAGACCTGAAAAGCTAATGAAATCTGAGAGAACTTAAACAACAAATTTGATTGGAAATTGATTTGGCCGAGAGAGAAGAAATGAAAAGTTTTTCCAGTTCTACTCTTTAAGTTGGATTGAAAATGATATAATCTTAGTCTAAATACTTCACAAGACTTTAAATTTGGTGTATACGTATATATTCATCATTCTTAGTTAATAAACTTAATAAATCTCGAAGAGAAATGTAAGAAAGAATTCCTGGAATTTCACATCTTGTTTAATAAGCTAAGGAACTTGGTTTCTAGTGATTTAATCCTTAAGTTGGTGAGATTTTAACGCTTAAAACTTCTCTCCTTACACTTTAGAACTTTAGAATTTTTTTTTTTTTTCGGCTAACCTCGAACACGAGGGGGGACGCCACTCCCAAATTTATTCAAAAATAGACACAAGAGATGTTCTGTTCTGAGATGTTTGCCAGAAGGGCTAAGACAACCGTACATAAGGCATTCGCATCTTATCTAGGCGGGCTAGCCCCTGTATGTAGTCCGGGAGGGTGGAGGCCCCAAAGCTGTGATCGACACCCGTGGAACTTGCTAGATTTGCCAGGGCGTCAGCCACCCCGTTTGCCTCCCGATAGACATGAGAGAAGGTAACCTGGCGGCCCAGCGCTAAGGCTTGGATGCGTGAGATAGTCTTCCATAGCTTCCAAGGTACTCGTCCATTGTCATTCACCATAGCCATCAGAACCTGAGAGTCCATTTCAACTTGCAGAGAGTGGTAACCTGTGGAGAGCAACATACCCTCCAGTAATGCCGAGGCCTCCGCTTCCATGTTTGTCCTTGAGCCCAAAAAAAAGGAGAAACCACGGAGGACATTACCCCCCGAGTCACGAAACACACCTCCCGCACCAGATGAGTCTGGATTCCCTAGAGATGAGCCATCAACATTCAATTTTACGAACCCCTCAGGTGGTGATTCCCAAAGGACCCAGCGTGGGGCCATCCGCTTCGGTGACGTCAGTCGGAGAAACAAGCCCGAGTGGACCAGCTCCCCGTCATCCTGCGTCACTCGAGCGAAAGGCCGGACCTGGGACAAGTGATGCAGCAGCGTTTGAATATTCCAGCAAACCTGAGTTGGGGTTAAAACAATACCCTCAAACACCGCCATGTTCCTAGCTTTCCAAAGGCCCCAACAGATTAGCGACGGCAATACCTTGCACAGCTTACCCCGTGCAGAGCCTGGAGGATGACATAGCCACCATTGCTGTAAACGGTAGATAGTGTCGGCCGTAGGCGACTGAGGAACCCACATGGCCCTGGCGAAAAAACTCCAAACCTGAGATGCTAGAACGCATTCCGAGAAGACGTGATCTTGAGACTCTCCATTCAAGCAAAACGAGCACTTTGAGGGGAGTTGGAGGCCAAACCGCTGAAGGGCATCAGGGAAAGGGAAATACCGATTGAGCAGCTTCCACATAAAGACAGCAATCTTGCAAGGAGCACTGGCACTCCATACACACTTCCTAGATCCAAGGCAAGCTCTTTTGGGCCGCAAAGCGTCCCAAGCTGAAGAAATGGTGAAATCGCCAGAAGATGTGAGGGTCCAAACTGGTCTAGCTCTGTCGTCTACCTCAATTAAGCGGGTGGACTGCGTCACCATATCAGAAACGGACAGCATTCGTCGCCAGACTCTGGATGCTCCACAGATTACCCCATTGTCCTCACTATAACGGGATCGCATGAATAGTGCCCACAAGGAGGAAGAATGGCGGAACTGCCACCACAGTTTGCAGCTGAAAGCCCCTTGTATGCTTGTAAAAGAACGTATGCCAAGGCCATCCTCCTCCACTGGATAACATAGGTTTTTCCAGGAACGCCAATGATGTTTAAGGCCCAGCTCCGTCTGCCCCCAGAAAAAATTGGCCATAAGGCGTTCCAGCTCCTTTAGCACCCCGGAGGGCAGGTCCATGACGGCTAACACGTGCGTAGGTATGGCAGAGAGCACATGCTTAATAAGTATGAGTCGCCCCCCCTGGGAGAGGATCTTTTTCTGCTAGCCCGCAAGTTTAGCAATGAATTTATCGATTAGGAATTGGAAGTATTCTTTTTTCCTACGTCCTGCATATAGGTTGCATCCCAAATAAGGAAGCGGCAGAGTTCCATGCCTGAATCCAGTAATCTGTTGAATTCTACGAATCTGGCCAGTTCCACACCGCCTCGATGCTATGAATAAACTCTTGTGATTGTTAATCCGCTGGCCTGTTGCAGTTTGGTATAAATTTAAGAACCGAACCAAATTCCCGACCGACCTTCTATCTCCGCGCGAAAAAATGATGATGTCGTCAGCAAAGGACAAGTGAGTGACCCGAACGCAACCACGTGACGTTGCATAGGGAACCACTCTGCCCCCCTCGACCTGTGCATTCAGTCCCCTACTTAGAGCCTCAGATGCCAGAATGAAGAGGAGAGGGGACAGAGGATCGCCTTGCTTAATCCCACGGGAGGCCTGGAAAAAACCTTTGGACCTGCCATTGACCAACACAGAGAACCAGCTGTGGGAGAGGTTATTTAAAATAGGCAAAATGAACCGGTAGTCAAAACCAAACTTGCAAAGGAGCTGCCGGAGGAACCACCATGACACCCTATCAAAAGCCTTCATCATGTCCAGCTTGAAGATGCAGTTATTTCCCCGTGCCCTCTTGTCAATGGAGGCAATCATTTCTTGCGCCAAGAGCACGTTTTCAGCAATATCACGACCAGGGCAGAAAGCGGATTGCTCCGCAGAAACAATGCCCGAGAGGATTGGCTGCAAACGATTAGCAAGGACCTTTGTAAAAATCTTGTTTACAAAGGTGCGCAGGCTAATGGGCCTAAAATCGGCAAACGTAGATGGGTTTGGCTTCTTCGGGATTAGGACAATCAAAGTGCTAGCAATTCCTTTTGGGATCGGAGTCCCAGCTAAAAAATCCTTAGTCGCTGCTAAGATGTCAAGAGCTACGAAATTCCAGCAGTGACGAAAAAAAAAGCCAGTGAATCCATCCATACCCGGGGCACTATCCTTATCGAGGTCGAAAACCACCCGCTTGACCTCCTCCATGGTTACCTCCCCCAATAAGACATCGTTTTGATGCTCAGTCACGAGCCGCGGAATGTGTACCAGCAGATCATCCACGTCGCTAACCTCCTCAGCTGTAAGAAGACTATGGAAAAAACCAACCGCTTCCTGGCCAATGCTGTCTTCATCCTCAAGCCAACTCCCCCCCGCATCCTTAATGCGATGTATAGCCAGCTTCGAGCGCTTCTCCCTCACTGAAGCATGGAAGTAGCGTGTATTGCAATCCCCATCCTTTAACCACCGTAGGCGGGCCTTTTGACGCCAGTAGTCCTCTTCCACCCGAAGACTGCGCAATAGGATGCCTTTGGCCCGATGGAGCTCAGCTCTCGCCTCGTCCGTCGGGGCAGCCTCGAACAAGATTTCCTTTTGCTGGACCTCAAACTCGTTCTGCCGAACAGCCTGAAATATGTTGCCAAAATGTTGCCTGCTCCAGTGGCGTAAGCATGCCTTCAAGCGTTTTAGCTTGAAAGCCAACCGGTACATACCATATCCCTGCGTAGGAAGTTCCCAATTGCTCTGCACCGTCGATTGAAACTCCGAGCTAGAAACCCAAAAATTTTGAAACTTAAAAGGCTTGGGAGCACTAGCATCAGCCCCCCGCAGATGCACCAATAAGGGCGTATGATCAGAGGTGGCCCGATTTAGATGCTGGACCGAAGTATTTGGTAGGAAACTGAGCCATTGGTGATTGGCCAGGACCCTATCCAACCGCTTCCATATCCTAGATCCTGACCGAACGCCAGACCAAGTATATGAGCTTCCAGAGTAAGGCAACTCCTGAAGATGACAGTCTGAGATTGCTGTGTTGAAATCAGAAATGGCTCCCAGGTCTTGATGTGCTCGACCCGTATACTCTGCCAGCGTACGGATAGCATTGAAGTCCCCCCCTACCAACCACGGCCTTGTGATCGAGCTAGCAAGAGCGCGGAGTTCCGACCACAGAGCATGCCTTCCCACCCTTGTACATTTAGCATAAATGAAAGAGGCAAAGAAAGTCCCGGTCCAAGAGTCATGACCCGCCATGACATGGAGGACTTGCTCGTAATGGCTTTAGCAGCTTGCCGTGTCAAGACCTGTCGGGTCAGAGGGGTGGTAGCACGCTTCTTCCTTGCCTTTCGCGAGAGTACCATGGTGAAACCATTTGCCTCCCGTTCAGCAAACTTCTGCTGAACCCGAGGCCCCAGTGCCTTGCTGAACTGCTGAAGAGAGGCAACCAGTGTCCTCCTATCACGCGCACCCACCTCTGGCAAATCCTCCCCATCCGAAAGGGAGCCTTGGGGGGACAGCTTCTCATGCGCAGCTTGCTGGATTTGCGAATCATCGCAGATACGACCCAAGACTGGAGGGGTTGCAGAAACTTTCAAGACAGGAGCGGGAGCACCGCTATCCTCAACCTGGCCCGCCGCAACCTGCCCACCATCTAGGCACACGCAACTAGAGCTCTCAACCTGACCGCTGCCCACCTGCGCCTGTCGAGCCATAGAGACATGTGATGGCTGCCCCAGTTCTTCATTCTTCTGGTTTGGCCCAGTTCTGGTGATGAGATACGCTAGTTGCGGAGCTTTGGATTGCTTTGCACCATTCGTGTCTTCGTGGGTCTGGGCTACCGCCGCCGCCGTCAGAGGAGTGCCCTTAGATCCATTCCTGCGATGTTTGTGCTGTCGACAGCCATCACTGGAGTACAGCGGCAGGTTCTCGTAGAGGAGGCGTTGCCAGAAGCCAGAGTTGCCTGTCCCAATCCAGATGCGCTCGGGTAGGTCCTGTGAGACATCAAGATCCACGCAGATGCGTGCCACACTGGGCCTCGACAAAGCTGCAGTTGCGGTATCAATTTGTAGTGGGTTGCCAATGGTGTTGGCAATAGAGAAAAGTGACACCTTATCAAAAAAATGGATTGGTAAATGCTCTAACGCAATCCAGACAGGGGCTCGTGAAGATTCACTTGAAACTGTAAAATCTGGGCTCCATTTAAAAACACGCATTGGGAATTCTGCAACGTTCCAGAACCCCTTTGTCCAGCACCGAAGGAAATCTTCCTCCAAGCAAAACCGTATGAGAATATGCCTCTGATCTAGCAAACCGACAGTGAAAGTGGACTTGAAACCGATCGCCAGGAGTGACTTACGAGTGACATCCAGACTTGGCCTGCCATGGTAAAATTTTCCGACCACAGCAAAAGTGAAAGGAGCAGAAAGCTTTGCAATATCCTCTGCCGAGAAAAGGACGGCCGGCTCTCCACGGTATTGTGCAGCAGTCTTGATCTTGCAAGGAGATGATGAGGGTGAAGGCTGCGCCTGGAGCACGGCCGCAAAGGAGCGGCCAGCCCCCCCTCCAGGCGGCTGAATGCCAGCCATGCAGAAAACCTAAACTACCAAAAATAGACGCACGGCAACCCTATGCTAGAGAGAACTTTTTTTCAGAACTTTAGAACTTATGTTTGGGGTTGTACATAAAATTCCTAATCTTGAAAGTGTAAATCAAATGGGAGTTTTAAGAGTACTAGATTGCTTGGATTAGTTGAACTATGTTTAGAGAATCCTAAAACTCTAAATAAACTTATTAGAATTCACGTTAAGAATACCTGAATGATTGTAGTTATATTTTACCTCAGGAATTGAGAGTGATCAAGGGTTTAACCCAGAAAGTGAAGCTTAATCGATCTTTAACGGTGAGTGTTTTCCGAATTTATGTGTTAAACTGCTTATGTGTACCTAAGTGAAATTACGTGACAAATGAGCTTATTATGAATTATTAGTAAATGATTCAGTGTAAAGTGTATTTCAATTGTCCCTCGCCTTCTAAGTCGGGAGTGTACTTTATCGCACTCGACTTAGTTGAGCTTGAAGGTCGATAATTGACTGAATGTTATTGTAAGTGAGTGAGTCCTGGCGAGAGCCAGGCAGGCGATCTGCTAATTTCTAAGGTATGCCTTAGGAGAAGATCGGGTCGTCACATCGCGTTTTCATCTTTTGCTTTTAAAAACAAAAAACGCAGGCCATATTTTCTCTTCTTCTTCCTACCTCTCACCCGTGTTTGCTTACTCGTTTACACGCACCTTCACAAATTCTCTCTTTTACTTTATTTTTTAGTAGACAAATATCAACCCAACTTCTTTTAACCTTCATAAACCCTTTTTACCCGATTAAAATTCAAAAAAAAAAAAAAACCAAAAAGTCAGCTTTAAAGAAATTGAAGGCTAGGGTTCTTGGTTCTAAATTTCATCAATTGGAGGCCAATTAGAGGGTGTTTCATAGGATTTTTTGAATCATTAGCATCACCAAACATCCTTCTACTTGATTGAGATAAATTTCTTCATCAAAATTTCATATTTTAGAAGTTGATATTTTTCAATTTCCATATTTTTCTGACATTTTCTAATTTTGAATTTTTGATGATATTTATTGATATTTTTGGCCTCCAATTAGGGTTGCAAACGAGTCGAGTCGAGTCAAGTTTTGGCCTAATCGAGCCGAGTCTTGACATAATTTTAGTGAACTCGAACTCGGGCTCGAGCTCGAACTCGATAAGCCGACAATTTCAAACTCGAGCTCGAGCTCGACTTGATTTGAGCGAGCTCGAACTCCAAAAAAATAAAAAATAATTATATTTATTTTTTAAAAAATAAATAAAATAATATTTTTTTCTTAATAAATAATAAAATATTAAGGATATATATGTAATTTTACTATTAAAATAAAAAAAATAAAAATTATATATATACTTAAAATAAAAAAATTTAAAATATATATATATATACTTAAAATAATATATATATATATATATATACTCGAGCTCACGAGCTAACGAGCTTAATATCTTGAGCTCGAGTTCGAGCTCGATTTCGACTCGAGCTAGCTCGAGCTTGACTCGAGCCGCTCGCGAGCGGTTCGGTTCGTTTGCAGCCCTACCTCCAATATGCTTATTAAGGTTGATTAAGCATGTTTATATTTTTAAATGTAGCAATTTGATGGCTAATTAGTTGTTAAAATTTTAAATTTGCTATATTTGGATAAAATTGAAAAAGTAGTTTGGATTGTTATTTGAGCCATTTTGATTCATGATTGTGACTAAAAATGATTGGTTGATGACGTTTTAGCATCTGCGTTGTGTATAAAGAGTAATTTTATTGAATTTTGTAATTTATGGAGATAATTTTTGCTTAATCATATTTATGGCTAAACGTGGATTATTATTACTAATTAAGGATTGTTATAAACTTCATTATTGCTAATTTCATTAATCGAAACATATTTGTTACCTATTTTAATAAATTGGTGATTTTGACAATTTTCGACAAAATTTTGGCAATTTTCGACAAAATTTTGGCAATTTTAATGTCATGTCTCTCATGTTATAATATTGGATATTGTTGAATATTTAATTGATTCTTTATGACATGGAGATGTGTATTTGTGGTTATTTGTACCACTTTTAATCCCTAAACATGAATGATAATTCTATAAAATGCTTACGGTTACCATAAAGGGAAAGATTCTTCTTTTAGATGTTTTATAGGATTTAATTCTTGTATAATGTGTGATTGTATCATACTTTAGATAGGTGTATGAGAAGTTTAACGATTTTTTTTATACACCATGATAAGAAAAGGACGAGCTATTTGTGAGGACCAAAAAATTTTCACATTTTGTTAGCATTATTTTATTTCTTTGACTATATTTTATACTTTTCTTGAAAATATTAAATTTTCTATGCATTTTTACAAGTAAGTACAATTTTAAAATCATCTTCCTAATATGAGTTAGTGTACGTTAATTTGAAGTGTATTATTGACGTGGGACCCGCTGGTGCGGTAAATGCGTTATATTTTGACAACTTGTTGGAGTTTGGTTAAGTGATATTATTTTACAAGGTGCTAAGGTGCTAAGAGATAATTAGAAGTTACCTATATGGATTAGTATTAGAAAGACAAAGAGATAAGTTTAAGCAAGTAAGGTGCCAAGTGTCACAAACCCATTGGATGTTGGATTTGACCAAGACCTTCTTAACTTTTCTAAAAGCAATTTTGACTCAATTTTCTCTCATTTTTCTTGTGTCTTGGCTGAACCTATTGAGGAGGAAAACAAGATAGAGCTCTTCAATTTCTAGCTTCCAAATTTGCTCAAATCTTTAGTTTCAACCAACCAAATCACAAACTACACCATACAAGTGATCATTAGGGAAGGTTAAAGGTGTTGGTGGAGTTGTTTTGGAGGAGGAAAGATTAAACTCCTACCTTTCTTGTGGTTTTAAGGTATTTTGCCAAGAACATCCTCTTTACTTCAATTAATAGCTTAGTAGTGGTTTTTAGTTGTTTTAGATGTTGTTTTGTGGAAGATTAGCACTTGAATGCATGAATTCCATATTAGGGTTTCATTTTTTTCCCAATTCTGCCCGATTCTATTTCACCTTGTTAGAGGCCTAACTAGCCTTAGTACAAAACATAAAAGTTGTAGAGAATGATGTTTTATAGTTGCCTGCAAAATTTCAGCTCAATCGGAGCAACGTACCCTGTGAAAAGACCAAAATACCCCTGCTGCCCTGTTTCTGTCCGAAAATAAAAATCAGCCTCTGTAAGTGGTTAGTTTGACCAGGAATATTACCGAATTGGCTGATGATGTCTTCTTAAGAATTATAGCCTTGTATCTTAGCTTTCAAATGGCTTTAGAATTACCTGAATTGGAGTTGTGTGTGCTGAGATATGAGTGAATAAAGCAGGACTGCTAGTTGATTTCTGCAATGAATTTCAAACTAAAAAATCTGGAGTTGTTTTGGTAAATTTGGCCTAGTTAGGGTGAGAACTGGATTGAGTGGTCTTCATGAAAGTTGTAGGTCTTTGTCTTAGGTTTTCAACGCCTCTAAGAACGCCTTAAACGGACTTTGGTAGCCTGCGATATGGCCATTTAAAGGTAGTACGGTTAATTAGCCGATTAGTTGGAACTTGGTTCTGGGAATTGGGAATTTGACTAGGTTACACTGGAAGTTGGACTAAGTGATCTTCATCAAAATTGTAACCCTCTGTCTTAGCTTCGAAACGGTATAAATTACATCCCAATCCGATAAGCGTAGCTTCGGATGTGTCCGTTACGCAAAACCCGTCAAATCTGTCTTTTGTTAAACTTCATTTCCGCACATGTTGTTAGCTTGATTTTTGTACTTATATGACTTTGAGCCTATGGAATGGCTATTGAAATGAAATGATATTGTGTGTGATTTTGGAATTGATTGAGGAAAACAATAAAGCCATAAATGGCTGGAAAAATAGGTAAATACAAAGGGCATGCTGTCCAAATTTTCGCTCGAGAGCTAAGTTTCTATTTGAATTTGTATATTTTTGTTTGGCAAATACTATGACCGTTTTCCATCTTAAAACATGATCCTTCTTCAATTGGAAACTCCAAATGTTTACTTACGTTTACCAAATAAAAAGGAGTGGTTTAGAATTTTCTTAGGTATTTTGTCCTCCCTTTTTACATGAATTTCATTAAGACATTTAGTTTATAATATCTACTTGAATATGAGATGATTTTGAACCGTATAAACGATCTCGAAAATAGTATTTCTTAGCCTATCTAGTTGGATTCCGACTTGTCTTTGGTTTAAGTGTTTCCATTGAAAAATTTTATAACCCTTTTGAGTTGGGTTTTACGTTTCGACTATGAAACCCTAGTTATTTTTGTCCACGGGTCCAAATGTCCTCGTTTCACTTTAAAGTCTTTTATACGTTCTACTCATCAATTGTCGAGTTTTTTGATTTCACCTAATTGTTTGTGTTAGATGAGCTGTAATATTCTTTCTTGTTTAATCTTAGGTTTTCTTGGTGACTAAAGATAATATCCAGAAGGATATTTTGCACGTTGTTTTGCGTATATAGGTGAGTATTCCTTGTTTGCTATATTTTTCTTGACTTTATGACTTGTGTTCTTGTTCGATAATGTGTTAAGTGCTTTCAAGGATTTTCAAAATGAGTTTTTTAGACGAGCGTGTACTTTATCGCGCTCGATCTAAATGAAACGTGAAATTTTCAATGATTTAATGATTGTTATATTAGTTGCGCATGATGTAAGCCTTTTGGCTGAACTAGACCCTGCCCTTCGTTACCGATCGACTCGAGCCAGAAACAAACTCGATCGGGCGATATGATGACCCTGGGTGTGAACGTTGGTATACTCGAGTATTACCTTGTAGGTTGGTGGAACCTGACCAATTTCCAAGAGGGGGTGAACGAAACGAAAGAACGAACGAGGGGTTTATTTACCAAAAATGCATTTTATTTAATTGAGCATTTTATTTAATTGACCGGAGGAATAAGGGGAATGACAGGAGAACGAACGAACGAACG